AAGGGATGCGCGCCCACAGCAGCTGTACCATCACCGTCTCGTCCATATTGTATGAGGTCTCCCTCACTAGACCCGCTACCGCATCTAGCCAGTCCTCAAACCGCTCTTCGTCGGTAATGTCGGCCTTGGGCCAGGCGCTGCTATTGAGCGCTGCTACCCACGCGGCACGTTCGGACTTGTCCATGGCTTCTGACGGCGGGAACCTCGGCATGTACTCGAACCCTATCGTGTCCTGAACCCATCCAGTAGTTGTCGCCACTGAGTCGTCCGGGGTGGGTTGAGGACACGGGGTGCCGCCAAGGGCGTCCCTGCGTGGAGAGAGCTCCACATTACTGGTCGTCGCATCGGAGTGTAGGTTGAGCATCACTTGTAGGTTTGTGTAAAAATTTCCCCCCTCCCTCTTTTGTTGTTGACAATCTCTTCTGAGCTCGTTGTGTCTCCGGACGGCTCAGTAGTGACGCGGTTGCGTGTGCGCGTCTGCGGGGATTGAATCGCGGACATCGGGTTGTCTTGACTGAGCGCAGGTTCGCGAGTCTCAAATTTCGGTTGCAAGTTTTTTGTGTTTGATTTTTGTTCTGTCCGTTGAACGGAAGCAAAGAAGACTACAGACGCGAAGAAGCTAAGAGTACAACAACCCAAGTAGAAAGAACGGTATTGAAAGCGATAATAGCGAAGCAAATTAGGGAAGCAAATTAGTGGATAGGTAAGTTAGTGGATAAGTAGGTTAGTGAACAAACAGTATGAAGACGATAACGAGTAGTTCGGTTGGTTGTGTGTTGGATAGTGTTGTGGTGGTGGGTGCATTTGGGATGCCTGCGGAGGGTGTGTTGCCGTACGATTTGGTGGATATGGCGGCGAATCGTTGGCGTAAGTTGTGGCAGGCTAATTTGGGTGGTCGGAGTAGGTTACAGCCGTTGATATTGCCGGATGAGATGGTGGATGTGATGGAAGTGGAGGAGTCAAAGGCGCAGGCAACGAACCGTGAGGATGTGGCGTTGTTGACGTTGTTGAACTTGCTGGAGGGTGAGCTACATGCAAAGAACTCGGAGTGGGAGGCGGGTCAGGGAGATCGATTGCTGGGTTGCATGGCGTATGCCCGTCAGGTGTGTCAGAATCAGTCGGAGAAGAGGCTGCGGCGACTGGAAGACACGCAGGAAATGTTGGTCAAAAGTGTGCATGTGCTCGCTAAGGACGTGGTCACCAAAGCCTGGCAACCACAGGCGATTCCGCGCGCAGTGGTAGCAAGCGTGAAAGCCAGTTTCACCAAGGTGGTCGCTCAGATAGAGAGTCTTCTCGAAGTACTTCCCCTCGAACACTTCGCGATCGTGCCCCAGATAGTGGACAGGATGTTAGGAGACGCACTGGTACTGGACCTAGATCGGCAACGTCAGTACCCGATACTGAAGGCGGTAATGGGGTATTTGTTTCGTGAACTGTTTTCGGCGGAAGTGGACAACGGCGAATATCAGGGCAACAACCGGCAATTGACCACGGTGATAGTTCTTAAGCCGACGGCACACTTCGACGGGCTGGCATCCTATGTGTACAAGATGAGTAGTCTCGCGGGTCGCGATGAACCGTCGCGCAAAGAGTTGGGTGAGATTGGACGCCGCGAGATGCTTAATTTGTACGCAGGTGTATGCGCAATTGCCGGCCAACTTTTTGACCGTGAGGCGCTCTTGAAGATGCCCCACTATCTGACCCAGCAGGATATCGGAGACCTCGACAAGGGCCGCAGACTTGACACTTTCGAGGTGGGCGAAGTGCCTGCTAACCCCTTCGAGGTACCCGGTGCCGTGGTCTCACACCACTGCCCACCACTCTGGTATGACATGCTCAACAAGCAGTTCTTCCCGTGGCTCTTCGAAATGATCCAAGAGGCACCTCCCTACAAGCCCGCCACCTCCGCCAAACAATTGAAACCACCTACCCCGCGTACCATTGCTCATCACAACCCCTTCACCGATATCAAAAGAACTACATGGACCAAGCTCGAGGCTCCTATCGTTGAAAGCGCTCAAGGGGAGTACTGCTTCCCTTTCCTCGGATACCTTACAGACGGAGGCTCTGAAAACGCGCAGGCAGGCGTAACCGTGCGCGGCAACACATGGGCCAACGCCAGTGGATTCCGGAGCAGCACCAACAGCACCGGTAGCACGATGAGTGGGATCAGCACTGACAGTGCCGGTTTCACTTCAACCTGGGGCAGCAGTGTCAGTCTGACTGCACCTGAGTCAGAGGTGGCTGGGCTTGAGGTTGCTAAGGTCGAACCTGAGCCCCCCAAGCTGATGGAGCAGCCCATGGACCTGGCCTACCTGGCGAGCGGAAGACGAGTGGACTTCCAAGAACTCACCAACAACCTTGAATGCTGGGACAATCTACTGTACCGTGTGCCGGTCTCGCAGCACATCTCCGAAAGACCGCAGGCCACCCCACAAATGATCCGGAAACTCAGCACCTCTTCCAGCCGTCGAACCACGCCTCAATTGACACGAAAATTCAGCACCTCAAGTCGAACACAGGACGACTTTGAGAACGGTTTTGAGACCCGCACCACCCGCAAAGTCACCATCCGACGCACCTCCACGACTAACGGTGGCATTACCGCCAGCGAGACCACCTCCACTACCACCACCAGCACCGAGCATCATGACGACCCCCTCGTACCCTGGCAATCCTGCCTCGGACGCATAGAATACCCCTTCATACCCTCGATCACCCATCCGTGACGATCCACTACCAGAACGACCCTTTTTTCAACCAAGTTTTTCATTGACCTTCATTGACCAAATAATGCAGTGAATAATGCACTGGACTAACCCTTGCAGGTTTCGACGCTTGCTGGTACCCACTGGTTCATCGTCATCGCTCACCCACAGTCGGTTTGTTGACAAGTTTGTGTGCTAAGTTTGTGTGCTAAAGCTTTGATGAACCAACCTTACTACCGACCCGTTTCATTGGTCTAACTCTTGGATGATCCGATATTGCCCCCACCCCCTTCACAATGGGCGATCTGGGCATCGATCCATCCTAGTGCCTGTTGCACGCGAAGCGAGCGCTGTACCATTGTGTGGCTCCATTCCAGAGTAGCACACGTCATTGACGAGATAAATTCCGTCACTTAACAAAAATAGTCAAGGAAGAAGCCGACTCCAAATCACTGTGTGGTCTAGCAAAGGACATCAGGTACTTAATAGACAACAAGTAGTCTCTTGAGTGTGCATGAGTGTTGTTGCCATCCTCGTCGAATCTGTTGTCAGTTCTTCTAGCAGATATGGTTGTTCCGACCCCCCAATTGTTCCCCACGGCGGTGACCAGACTGCTGGGCCCTATTTCGTCGTCGAGGATGAGTAGGTCATCAAGGCGCACGCTGGCGCTTGCGGTAGACCAGAGTGCCGCGTTGCAATAGAGTTCATATTGGATGGAATCATTCGCCAATCGAAATTCTTGATACTGGTCCGCACCTGCATGAGTCTGAGTATCTAGGACCCATGTGATGTAGGAATTAATTACTGTTGCTATACCATTTAACTCATCAACGGATCTCACAATAAATAAGCACCTCGTGAGATCAAGAATCTTTCCTTCGCAACAACATAGGAACATCTCCATGTTCCTACCCAGCTTTACCAACACATCATTCATACCTTCTAAACGCCAAGTAGGAATCGTGCTTTGCAAACCGAAGTTCGGGTAAAAACCTTCCGAGCCTTCAGTTATAACATCCGACCCACCACCGTACAACTCGCCACAATACTCACTTGACAAACCACTACAGGAACCCTCACCTGACGCGCTGCCATCATCACATGACTCATTACAGCACCCCCGTACATCTTGCCGCAATTGGAAAAATCCCCGGATTCCTATACAATAGAACGGTACTCGTGATTACTACTTCATACATGAAAGGACACGCACCATAAGGAACCATAAGGAAAGGGAATGTAGCAGGGAATGAAGGAAGAAATGCATGTCTAGTACTGTAGGATGTCATTCCATGCGATCAAAACTAGTCGCTCCTTTTATATATTTTTCGGCCCACTTAATTATCGATCCAACACCCCAGTCCCTTCACCCCAGTCCCCCTCCCTACCCCAGTCCCCTTCCCTACCCCAGTCCCTCTCCCTTCAGATTTTGCCACAAAAGCGCGCTTGTTTGGCAGGTTTGTCAGATCTTGTTTTCGATTGGGGGTGAGGTTAGGTCCAACTAGGAGTGATGACGCAAAAAATAGCTGTTTTTCACTAGCGTACCAGCTAGAACATTTCTTCTATATCGTCCTCTAATTCGTCTTCTGGACCTTCATCATAGCCACGTTCTATCTCCTCTTCATCTTCTTCTTCCTCATCGTGGAGTTCATTGAAGGCTGGTGAGAAGTTGTAAATGTCCCCATAGTGACCGGCGGCTAGTCGGGAAACTAATTCTCTCTCCACTGTCGTTTGTAGCTGGGCCGCTCGGAGAGCTACAACTTCTCGTTTTCGCTCCCTTCGCCGCACCTTGCCTGTCTCATACTCTAGAACTTTCTTCGGCTGAGCCGCCATATGTGTCATCCGTCGCAAGTATTCACGTATCTTACAGAGGCGTTTTTTGCAACGCTGGATTTGATAGTCTTTATAAATGTTCATCATATGCCTGTCAATCTGCTCAAACGCTTTACCTGTATCTTCACTCAAGCGGATTTTCTCCCACATATAACGAGGAGTATGAGATCTCTCTACAGTCTTTAAATATAGAAAGCATACTCCATCCTCCTCCAGTATCGTACCATAATTCCCATTCGCCAAAGGACACGTGGTTCTCATACATAACCCTGTCACATTATACGGATGCTGACATAAAACAATGTCTTTAAACCTAAAACGAACATTCGTTGTGATGGACCGACCTCCATTACGATGAAAACAGCTACTCCGCCAGCACGAAGTGTGTGCGCACACACACGTGTTTCCACAAGTCTTACTTTCGTTTATAAGAACAAAAATTCTTGCCTACAACATCCCAAATCACATCATCGGATTGCATAGTAATACGAGAGCAATACTATGGACGAAAAAATCATGAATTAAAAATCGGCCGGGACTCCTGTGAATGAAGACCAAATCGCCACTCGCGCCTCCAAGGCATTCTGGCCGGCCAAAAGAGAGAACAAAAACTTCACTATCTTCAAAAGTGAAGATAGACGATAGATTCGCTAAGTGAGATATCATACCGACATGTTGATTTTCGTCACTCAACTTTTATTCTTCACCGGGCATTTCCGACCCGTTCGTCGGCCCCTAAACTGACGGTCCCTGACCCGCCCTAAACTGACGGTCCCTGACCCGCCCGAGATATCTTCATTTTACTATAGGGTATTCACGGACCCAGAATTCTCGAAGACTTATAAACGAGATACTCGAACCGGAGAGCTCATAACAGATCATAGCTTATACAATGTGGAGGACTATGTCGAACTGGAATTTGAAAAGAAGCCAGAAAGGAAGGAGAGAAGTAAAAGGGATAAACAAAGTGCCGTGAAGAAGGATGCCGTGAAGAAGGATGCCGTGAAGAAGGATGCAGATACGCGGACATCTGAGAAGCGGACATCTGAGAAGCGGACATCTGAGAAGCGGACATCTGAGAAGCGGACATCTGAGAAGCGGACATCT